TTATTGCATGGAAAGCAGCCTTTAACGACTGAAACATGAACCGTGTTTTTGCATCAAAGAACAACATATGCCAATTAACTTACATGTCGAATTGAATTAATTTTAAATCTTAATTTCAAATAACAATAACCATCAGTTATCGTTCCAATGTTTACATATAGTTCACTGAACAAATGAAATCGTAAGAATAATACAGAAGCTGCTCATTGAGGCTCGAATAAAGCTACGAACATTAGATAAACCGCATAAGTTATGAGTTAAACAAGATGACTTAGATAACCCTTAGTTAAACAAGTTAACCGTTTAATAATTAGTCATAATTAGTCATAGTCAATAGGCAGTCAATGTTTATCGCACTTTTTCGGCGAAGTGCACGTTTAGGATTAAGTCGAGGGTTGATTTTTATCACTGTTTTATATTAGGCGGCGAAGTCGCGCGAATTAGCTTACTAACTGTCCATGCACATCATCCCACCAAATAGTTTTTAAAGGTTCTTTCTAACACCGTGAAGGGAAAAGTCCTAATATTCATCTGGCACTAATTTAATAATATTTAAATCAAAAGTATTTCAGCCGTATATTACGCTATATAAACACAGTCATTTGGAGTATAGTCATGAAAACAACACATGACAAATTCTATTTTACAACTTTTAAAGCGTGAAAATTCAATAGGAAATTCCAGTTATGACAAGGCTACTAAACAAATAATTCATTGACATTGTGTTATAATAACACGTTTAAATATCGAAATAAAAGCTAATGACACCTGCCCAAATTGTTTGCCATGGTTAGTTTGTACACAAATTAGTTCCCATAAACATTAACCCAATGTTACTTTCAGTTATTCAATAATGTAAAATAGGATCAGTCTATTAATGAACATGCAGATGATAAACTTTTATTGAACCCAAAAACTGCTAACTAGGAACGAATTACGTTATGGAACAACCAAATTCTTTTCATACCGCGCGAGAAATCGTCAAAAACGTTAGACTAGTGATAGGGATTTAAAGTTGGCTTACAGTCGGTAATATAAACAAAGCTTTGTATACATTTTTAATCTACAGGGTGTCTTCAAAAAAAACGAAAGCTATTGAAATTGCTCAACTTATAAAATGCTAAGTAGGAAAAATTTCAAATAATTAATATGATTTAAAAATTTAAATTAGCCTTGTTATTGCTTCCAAAGAAAATGGTACAGTTGACCGCGAAACAACGAGTGTTTATTGTGATAAATTATATACGCGTACCCAAAGGACAACGGAAGTACGAAACGTAATAAAATAGTTCAAAGAGGAGAAGCTGAGATATTTTCCATTGCACAAATGAAAACATTCATTTTTTGTTTATTCAATGTTACGTGTTCAAAAACAACCAATTAAAATAGGCGTTATATAATGCATAATAATTATCAGATTATATAATTGGTGTTGAACGTACATTTCACTGTTTTGTATTTTATATTACTATGCAACAAAAGAATGCAACAGTTCTTACAAGTGTATCTTTTAGGATTTCAATACTACCAATCATGCTTTAGAAAGTTCGTTGATCCAAGCTTTTGCGTCGCATTTTTAATCTACCATAATTATTATAAATCGACAATCTATCAATGAATACACAATTGCGTTGTTAATTTGATGCACGAAATTAAAACCAGGTGCACCTATCCAAAACGTCTGGTCGCCCACTGGATCAGTCGGTAGATCACCAATAAATTCCACTAGTATTTCTCCGGTCACATTATTCACGCTACAAACGTTTAAATTGCGCTCAAGTTTTGATTTCAAGGCCAGGTCATTGGCTGTTTTTTGCGCGTCGCTGTTCGTTGTCCAAATCACATCGAAAAGAAACGGTATTGATGTAGCAACCATTGTGGTGAGGATCTTAGCATTACTCGACACGCCAAAGCTTTGAGATAGCGCCAGGAAAAGAAACAGCAAATAAGCGAATAATACAACCAAGAATACCTTAGCGAAAAAAGGTACCAAAATTTCGTCGTATGGGAGAAGCGTCTCTCGGACAATATCGTATAGCAGCTTGGGAATGAGAGGCTCGCCGTTTTTGTCCAACTTAATGACGAAACTGTGGGTAAAGTCCGACGACGTAACTGACTGAAAACTGTCGCAGCTCTCATTGTCGCTGGAATGTATTTCAGGGCGGGTACATTCACAACCATGCAGAATAGAATTTTTCTTGCTAAATTTGTAAATACTTGTATTTAATTCAAGATATTTCGCTTCAACAGAAGACCTCCAATTGCTCCAGGAATAAACTAAGACGAGGGAGAGGGGAACAAAATATGTACTGTAATGTCCTGCGTTTAGATATAAACCAGCGATGAAGTAGAACAAGAGAACTAAACATTTCATAAAAGAACCAAGTATTAGTAGGAAGGTCAAAATTGAACCGAAAAATTGTGCGTAAAATTGTACTGTAATATTAAATTTTGATTCGTTTCTGTCTTTCTTTTTGTCGCGACGCCTCGAAAAAGATGGATTGCCAGAAATTTGATGTCGATAATTGCTGTGCAACCTTAGCGCTTGGGATGAGGTTGTGGCCTTATGTTGTGAAGATGATGAATTTTCCTCCTTAAACCAAATTTTAAGGAGGAAAAAACCTACAGCAAAGTACAATTCAAACGGTAAAACAAAAATCAGATATCGGATTAGTAAAATCACAATTGACAAACAATATTTGAACACATCGATACGGCTGATATCCTGTTTTCCACCGCTTCTTGTTTCGTCGTGGGATTCCACTTCCCGCGATAATAATCGAGTGCGCTCGGTAACTTAAGCATTGGTCGCCGATTGTTCATCCGTTGAAGTACAATCAAGGCTTAGCTTAAAGTGTCGACGGAGAAATGCATTCCTCCTCGCTTCTTTCCGCCAAAATTTTACATTGAAAGGAAAAGCAATGATCCTTTTAAAACTTTCGCTTACAAGGAAACTCGTGTTGGGATAACGGTGATCAAATGGAATACTGGCGTCTTCTTTATTGAAGTTGTATAGATAAAAAAAAAGAAGAAGTAACACCCAAGACGAACAAATTACCAGCACCAAGAAAAGCCAGATTGCATTTAAAGGATAATTTAGATCCCATTTAGGGAACAATGTTAGAATAATTAACACCGAAATTAATAGTTTTCTTCCAAGAGACTTAACTGGGCCATGGCCATCAATAAATATTATGTGAAAAATCGATGAAAGTGACATTGGGCTGTCAGAAATTTTGTATGTTGTGCGTTCCTTGGGAAAGGAGCCTAAATACACGATCATTTGAGGAAAAACAACGCAAAAGAAAGCAAGGACAGCCACACAAAACATACCGATAGAATAATCCAACACAGTTATTGATGAAAAGTCCGAACAGATGATTAAGCGATCCAGTAACCTACAACAACTATAGTACGCCGTTTTCTTATTCCAGAGGCACAATTTGTAATCAAAATGATCGTCATTGACGCGGTCATGGGGATACAGTTGGCGGAGTAGAAAGCTGAAAACAAAGTCAGAGGCACTCTTTCCTGAAAGCAATAGGCATCCTTTGGTCATTTCAGCGACAACAATATCCAAGGTTACGAGACCAGCATTTAATGTACTTGTATAGGAGGATAAAAGCATCGATGGAAGATTTTCGGTAGCGGTGATTAACGAAATTAACGTACGACCAATTTCGTTTGCCCAAGTTAACCGTGCTAGCACATAAGTTAACTTCGCCTTATTTTTAAACGATTCGATCCTAACATTCAATCTGATCGCATTCTTACCGCGATGAGCCAATTGCAGGACTTCCTTTAGGGATGCCGCTACGTACTTTCGATAATCGATATGCAGACGGCAGTTTGTCGATGAATTGTTTGCTGGATTTCCAATTACTATGGATTCAACTTTATCGATTCGGAAAAATACTGGATCCGGAAAACTTCGGTTGTCTGGAATGGCTTTGGACAACCCACTGCACGCAATCACCATCAGCACGAATATTTTAGCAGTCATTTTTTAACTCCCCAATATCACTCAATATCACATGTATAAATATTTAGTGAAAAGACTTTCTGGTAACTATATCTTACTTCTTACTTTCTGGTAAAAATATGGTTGTTAATACTGTATATATGGATTAATTCGTGTAAAGATACCATCGCGGGTAATCCAGGCCTATACCTAGGCTCCAATAGGTGGGAGGGGGGACAAAATTATCCAAACGTTATTTAGTTTTTTAAACATAATTTACCTTGAAAATTGTAGGAAAAAACAAATGAAAGTAGATTTTTAAAATACGACGAAGGCTCGTGTGGAGGAAGACATTGAGCTTGTTCTCATCGCTTTTGATCATTCGCCAAGTTTCACAACCATAGAGTAAGACAGCCAGTACATTAGATCTAAAAATCCTCAACTTGGTGTTTATGCTGAGTTGACTGTTCTTCAAGAGTCCTTCTCATAACCCAATCAATCACTAGTAGAAAGAGAAATCCAGACATGCAACAGCCTTGTTTCACCCCTGTCCTTACATCAAACCAGTCATAACTTCCAGAACTATCTACAACAGCACATTGGCTCTGATCATACATTGCCTTTACCATCGTGATCAATTTTGAAGGAATACCATACTCTCCCATTATTCCTCACAAAATACCTCTGTCAATGCTATCAAACGCTTTCTCAAAATCCACAAAACAAACATACAGGTTTGCATTCCATTAAATTACTTGTTCAATGATGTTTCTCAGAATGAATATCTGTTCAACTGTTCCTCTTCCTCTCCTAAACCCTGCCTGTTCTTGTCTAAGCCTGGTGTCAACAGCGTCCCTAATTCTTGTGATAATCACTTTGCCTAAAACTTTTGCGGCCACAGGAAGAAGTGTTATTCCTCTCCAATTTCCACATTCCATAAGATTTCCCTTCTTGGGAAGGCGAATGATCAACCCACATCTCCAGTCATTAGGTACTCTTTCACTTTCCGAGATCTTCGACAACAATTCGTACAACGCAGCTACTGTAGTTTCAATATCTGCTTCATCAGTTCTGTTGTCACACCATCAACACCACCAGCGTTTCCGTTCTTTAATTGCTGTATAGCTTTCCTAATTTCTGTATGTGTAGCGGGACCTGTTTCAATTTCTAATGTTTCACAAGCAACACTCTCCACTTCCGATCGTGTGGGGGGAGGTCTATTCAAGACTTCAGCAAAATGTTCCTTCCACCTTTTCTTTACCTCTTCCTCTTTTGTTAGTAGGATGCCTTCTTTACTCCTTACTGAGTCTGTTCTTCTGTTTGGTTTGTTGCAAAATTGTCTTGTAGCATCAAACACCGCCTTCATATTGCCTGTTTTGGCCGCTTTCTCTGCATCACTAGCAATCTGGTCAATCCAATTTCTCTTGTCTCTCCTAAGTTGCTTTTTTGCGTCCTTGTCTTTAGCTTGGTATTCTTCTCTGTATGCTGCTTTTAGTCTCTCTGACCTGGTTGAATCCACTTTAGCTTTACATAATCTTCTTTCATCAATTTTCTTCCAACTTGTAGCGCTTATCCAGGGCTTACTCTGTTTTTTCCTGTATCCTAAGACCTCCTGAGCTGTTTTCTTGTAACTTTCCTTTATATTAGTCCATCGAGTCTCTACATCTTGTTCGTTAACTTCTGTGCTTTCATCAGCTAAACAGCTAAATCTGTTCCTCAACTTAATTTGAAACTGCTGTCTTACTTCCGGTATAAGCAAACAAAGTCGTACAGTTGTGATAACTAGGTTGTGATCGCTTCCACAGTCTGCCCCTCTATAAGATCTCGTATCCCTCACTGATCTCTTGAACTTGCCATTCATTGTCACATGATCGATTTGATTTCTAGTCTTCCCATTAGGAGCAGTCCAAGTGTATTTGTGGATGTTCTTGTGTGGGAACATTGTTGACACAATAGCTAGGTTGTTAGCTGCACAAAAGGAAACAAAACGAACACCATTTTCTGACCGCTCATCTCCAAGCCCATGTCGCCCCACCACACCATCTTCCCCTTCCTGTTTGGCCCCGATCTTAGCGTTCCAGTCGCCCATCATCATAATCATGTCATGCCTTGGAGTCTTGTCAGTGACCTTCTGTAACATATCGTAAAAGCTATCCTTTGTCTCTTCGTCTGCCTCATTTGTTGGTGCATATACTTGAACCACTGTCGTTTTGATGTATCTTGAAGTGAATTCACTAAATTAATGCTCGTTCAATGAGAACTTGAGATGAAAAACCCACCTGTATAAAACAGGACGGAGAATATAACATCACGCGTGTATAGCTGTTTAAGTCTGAGTTCGATTCCAAGAATTCATGCTTATAATTATACGTATAACTCCTGGGAAAACCTCAAAAACAGATAACAAAATTTTTCACAAAATCTAAATAGATAAATTAGATGACACTTCGTACACTGAATTCGACAACGGTTTAAGGTATTTGCTTTTTGATTGAACACATTCTATCCTCCGTGCGCCTACAAGGATAAATCTGATAATTTTGAACAACCTGGATTTGAAGCACCCCCGCTTCTTAGGCAATGAGTTCCCAATTTCCTGATAATATCGAAAAATATACTCAATTTGTTTTTGATTATGTCTTTCGCCGTGGTGTAAGGTATTCCGCGGGATTCGTGAAAGCTCTGACCACTTTTGCCGTACTTAATTCTTCGTACAACCGGGTTGCAAGAATTGGGATTGTCAGGTAGCATTTAGAATAATCTCTCAGTAATAGTAACAGGACAAGTACGTTTACCCGATCTTGCTATATGAATTTTGTTTCCAGATCTGAACTGATCGTTCTTGCGTTGTGGAATGAATATAGACATACCATGCTGAGCAATTTCTATATGCTTCAGTTTAATAGCTAGTATTTCACTTATACGTAACAAACCGCTGTACCAGGACAATCAGGAGTAAGCATAGATCAGCTGGAGTTGCGGTGCTATGACCGTGCGTTTCTGCTAGCTGTTGTAACATGTGTGGTTGAAGAGGCTCTTTCGGCTGTCTCGGTTTGGCAAGAATTCTTTTACAACCTTCGTAAGTAGATTTGACAAATGGGTGATCAGTCGGGGATGGCAAACCATGCAGCCATGGAATGACCCCATCGGATACTGTAAATAGCGGTATCGAGAGTAGAAGTCTTGGCGGGTTCCATCCGCTGACGTAGATATAAAGCGACAAACATGGGTTGGGCTGGGAGATAAGCTACACCGATCTTGGACTTTGCAGTGGCGTAGCCAGCCTGACGATTTAGTCATGCTATGCAAATTTTATGCAATTATCATTATTCATTTCTTTAGAAATTCATTGTTTTCACAGTCGATGAACACCAAAACATTAGCATAGCATGACTAAATTGTCGGACTGGCTACGCCACTGGGACTTTGACCACGTCTTCCACCGATTCTAAGCATAAGCATACTGTGACGTAGTACTCCGAGCTTTAGCATTCAACACAATTTTGGGAAGTGACGCCGCCAAACACAACAGCGAAGGATCTTGAATCTGCAAACAATCCTTACACACGCCAACTCGAAATTCATCTAAAATAATCCCGTTACTAGCATATAATTAAAAATATATATACAGGGTGAGTAAAAAAAAACGGACACTTTGAAATTCAAATTAGTCGCATAACGCGGCTGTAATGTGATAGAAGTTGCTTAAAATATTTCATAGGTGTACGAAGCATATCATATTAATTAACCTAAGACATAAAGTTTGTTCCCATTGGGAGTTAAAATGCATTCTAAGCTCTGTAAATACAAAAGAACAGTATTATCAAATCGTTTTTGCTGATTGTACATGGGAATTGTCATATTCCAGCCATAAGTTCGCAGCTAATTTGAATTTCAAAGGTGTCCGTTTTTTTTTACTCACCCTGTATATGATCCTGACTATATAAACTTCACACACTATAATTGTATCAATATCACACAATGATTATTCAGAGCTCGAAAGAGCATAGAATATGCCAGAAATTGGCATCGGCTCTAAGGGCCGCAAACTGCTAACATTCAAGTTGCAGAGCTAACAAGTCAACAGTGGCGTAGCCAGCCCGACAATTTAGTGATGCTATGCTAATGTTTTGGTGTTCATCGACTGTGAAAACAATGAATTTCTAAAGAAATGAATAATGATAATTGCATAAAATTTGCATAGCATGACTAAATCGTCAGGCTGGCTACGCCACTGCAAGTCAAAGCTTGGTGTACCCATGAATACAGAAGGCTTGCTCTGATATGCAATTAACTGCCCTTCACCCGGTATACACATCTGCGGACACTTCTGAAAAACCAATGTGTCTTTAATAAAAGAAGCATATCGCCCTGGTCTGAGCATAATCGTAGGCCAAAAAACGGCCGAAGGCCATGAATGTGGAACAATGAGCGTGCCTGTGGCCTTGCATCTGCACAAATAGCGAATCGTAGGAATAACTAAAGATACTGCATGGTGAACACAACCAATTTGTATCATTAGACCAGTTTTGAGTGAAACAATCAACTGCTTCGGCGTCTGGACACCAAAAACGTGAATTGAACCGCGGCAATTGCTTATTATAGCTGGAGGCACACCGATCAATGGTGAAGGGGCCCCATTTGTTATGTAATACATTGAATAAACCAAGGTGTAACTGCCAGTCGTCTAAGTCTGTTGCTTTGCTTAACGCATCGGCGATCTGGTTTTCTGTTCTAGGTATCCATTGTGATTCAATCTGTATGTCACTGTGGAAACAGAGGTTGAAAATTTCTACAGCAATGTGCTGAAGCTCGGGCACTCTGCTACCCACTAAAACTATGCGACATGCACTTTGACTGTGTGAAAAAACTCTTATTTTCTTATGTTCTAAATATTTGAGAAATGTTTGTAGGACTCGCAGAATAGCTAACAGTTCTCTGAATGTTGAACTTTTGACTTGCCCAATGACCTTGAGTTCTAAGTTGCGATTAAGCCAAATAACCTCCGTATCCGCATCCACTAGCATCTGTATAAATATGCAGTGGTTCAGGCGATACATTCGCCCTCATGGAGTACCCATTGAGACAGCGAATATTAGATAGCCAAGATCTCAATTCTTCAACTAGGAGGGGTTGAATGTCGATCACATAGTCATTCCAGGAGCCTCTTTAGGAAATTATATAAATGAGCTGCCGAGTGAAGAGTCTTACTGAAGGCCCGACAACCAGATATAAAGAATTGATAAAACCGGCAATTTTAGCGAGTTCTATATAAGTCTTTTTGAATGGATTTCAGTAGATGACAGAGGGCCTAGACTCCTCGAATGGCTTGAGGATGTCGAAGCCAAATTTGAGCTAGTAGATTGGCCAGAAGGAAATGATGGAAAGGTTAAGAAACGTAAAGCTTTCCTGGCCATAGCAGGAGCTGAAGTAAGAAACAAGGTGGGGACATTAGGAAACACGGGAACTGATTATGAAACGTTAATAGACAAGGTCAAAGAAGATCTGTTGCGTGATGAGGCGTTGATTTTCTTAATATCGCAAGCTATGGACATGAAGCAAGATGAACGTGAAGGAATCGATGACTTTGCGATGAGAATTAGGAAGAAACATCAACGGATAAACTGGCAAGCTATACAAGATAAGTATAGTCTAAATGACTTAATGACGGGAGTAACTATTACAAGAGGGACAACGAATGTGAATATTCGTGAATATTGTTTATCTCGAAGTGGGGTACCCAACCTTGACGATGTTTTAGCTAGAGGCCGTAGCAGAGAAAGAATGAAACAACATGACAGAGAAATAATTGGTAATACGGACACGGCGGGTCGTGAAATAGTGACAAAAGCTGAGCCGACTTTTGCCATTAAGGGCCGTTATGGAAATATAGCTCACGGTATGAGCTTGAAAAAAATCAGAAAGCAATTTTTGATTCAAGTACATGTAAGTAATGTAAATTCTGTGGCTTCGACTGGTCTCACCCCAAGGGACTAGCAAGTTGCCCTGCTTTTGGCAAAGAATGCCGCAAGTGTCTAAAGAAAAATCATTTCGCTGAATGTTGTCAAACCAAGATACAAAAACTAAATCAGTTGTTAGGACAGCATGGAGAACTTGTGAGTCAGATTCAGACAGTGAAGGGGTAGTTGGTCATGTCTATGAACTACGGGGGGCTCACATGAAAGAGTAACTGTCCAAATTAATGGGCAATTACTTAACTTTGTTATTGACACTGGTTTCAGTAATATGATAATGACTAAAAAAGAATACTTTAAGTTCAGTATAGACAAAGAAAATCCTCTTAAGTGTACTAATGTAAAGTTAACGCCATATGGTTCCAATGATACACTAAAAGTAATCGGTAAATTTAAAGCAATGATAGAATATCAAGATAAGCAAGTACAAGAAACAATTTACGTAGTTTATACTCCAGAGCGGCAAAAGAAAAGTTCTCTACTGAGTAAATCGGTAGCTGAGAGGTTAGGAATTATAACATTTAACATAAACAGAGGATCAGTATGTGAAGTTATGGAAGGGCCAAGCTCAGACCATAAAGCGCAAATAGAGAGATCAAGTTTGAAGTCCAAAGGGCACACTGCATGGAGGTGCGAGCGCTAAACTTCAGGACGTTATTGCAAAGTTTGATGATGGATTCCAAGGAGTCGGAACTTTGAAAGACAAGAACGGAAAGATAAAGTATGTCAAGATACAGGTTGATTTATCGGTAAAACCAGTGGGGCAACCATATCCACCACCACCAACTCATCTAGAAGACAAGCTGATAAAGGAATTGGACAAGTGGGAAGATAAGCAAATAACAGAAACAGGACCCATAATTGAAAGAATTCCTGAAGGGGAACCAGCTACGTGGTTGTCTAACTTAGTGGTAACAGGAAAGAAACTCAAGCCAGGACAGAGCATTGAAGACATGGAAGTTTGACCCAGTGTTAATATGAGGTGTCCAAATAAGGCAATTCTGACAATGAAGTGCCATATTCCAACTATTTTGAAAGTTCGTCGTAAACTCCAGAAAGCTGGCGCCACACGATTCAGCAAGCTTGATATTCATAGAGGATATTTGAACATGGTTCTGCACCCAGATAGCAGAAAAATTACGACACATCACACACCCCGTGGACC